AGTTCGTCGCCAATCAGAGAAGTATTGTGTTCCGCAATCACTTCGAGCTTGGGAAGGCCGAAAAGACGCTCACGGTGCCGCCTGCTAGCCAGCGCATCCTTGAGCCATTGGACCACGCACCCATGCTTCCGGCGGAAGCCAGGGAAGAGGATGAGCAGATCGTTCTCGATCACCCTCTTCTGATGATGATGCCTGAGCCGGTCGATGATGTCGATCTCAAGCCGGAAGGCTCTGAAGAGGTGACCCAGGTTGAACACGTTCTATTCAGCCGTGATGTTGGGTCAGAGCTGCCCCTCGGCCTTGTCGCCATCGATCCTGAGGCGCAAGAGGACTTTGCCTTTACGGTGGCACGTGATGTCATCAACACCACGAATGTGCTTATCCCTGACGGAGACGCCATCGAGAAGGAGGCCGCTGACGGCATCCCCACGGTGTGGGACGAACCCCCTGAGGTTCCGGCATTGGAAGATGACCGCAGACTCCCGAAAGGCACAGTCAGGTATTCGCAGTCTCTTCGCAAAGTCGGGTCGACGCCCAAGTCGAAACCCGATCCTGCCAAGCACAGGAGAATCTCGGAGACAGTCGATACCGACGACGAAGAGGATGTCGTTATGGACCTGGATCCTGATGACACCGCTCAGCCGTCGGAAGACGCAGCTCAGCCGTCGGAAGACGTTGCTGATGACTTCGAGCCATTCTTTGAGTGGTGGGGCTATGAAGACATCCCCGATTTTGCCCCAAGCCATCGCTACATGACAGATGGCAAGCGGCGAGCATTGAGCAATGCCATGAGCTTTTTCCTTCGTGGCTTCGCGAATAGTGCAGAGTCACAGGCACAACGGCGGCCACCGCCCATGATGACCTTCGACCCCGCAACGCGGGAGGTCGAATGGGATCACTTCAAAGAGCAATTGGGCAAACAGTGGCGCGGTCTCCGGTCGGAAGACGTCATGGAAGTGGTGAAGTATGGGAACCACGACAAAGATGACAACGGACGCTTTGAGTTGCGCGTCCTCCACTTCATCGACCACACTGAGGTTCATGGAATCCGTGCATTCCAAGGGCACTGCCGCGATCTCATCTCTGACGAGACTGATCTTGTGGATATGCACAATGACAGCTATGCTTTGTGTGACGACTACAGGCCCACCATGCATACGCGCCCTGCCGTAGGGGTCACTGGCCAAATCCACAACGACTGGGTCAGAATGCATCCGATCGGATACCATGCAACATATTGGAGCAATTTTTCCAATATTGTTAGTACCGGTCTCATCCCAGGCGGTGTCACCCTCGGCGGAAGCACGGGGAGAGCCTTCACAATGATGGCTTCCCTCCCTCAGTGGGAAAGGCCGAACAACGCAGGCCTGCGACCTGGCGCTGAGGTTGAATTCGCTATCGACCTCCAACTCGCGTGCCTGGAAGGGTGTCGCATTCTCCTGACAAAGAACAATGTTCTGCAGACCCCAGATTGGTTGTCCAATCGCTACCTTATGTTTGCTTACGATCGCAGAACCGGGAAACCCGTATGGTTTAACCGCTCGTACGAGCTCACGCGAGCTCGGGTGTCCAAAGCCCGTGATGCATATGTCAAGCGTCAGGAGATCCTGCCGGTCTTTAACCAAGACCTCATCGAACGCGCAGCGGAAGCTGACGCCAATTGCATCATGGATTACGTTGATCTCTGTTACCCGATCCACAATGAAAATTTGGACTGGGTTGAGTTCTTGGGTATGTTCATGGACATGCAGAAGCCCTCGCACTTGCGTGAGGTTGAGCAGTTTCATGTCGATGGTCGTACCATCTGCTTTGAGCAGGGTAGTCCGCTGGAGGGAACTCCGTGCGAATGGACTTTGGATGCCCAGGTCTACTTTTCGCCCATCGGATTGACCACCGAGCGCCCGTTGCGTGTGGAGCGCAAGCACTACTCAGTGTGCCTCAACGTGCACTTCCCAAAGCTGCGCTGCCCTGATGATAGGTGCAGGTCTCAGATGCTTGACGGCTATCTCAATTGCCCCCGCTGCCAGCGAAAGTTGTTCAACCCGAGCGACATCTCCCACATTGCGGAGCTGGCTGATCTGCGGGCGGAAGCCGCGCAAGGTGGAGCTAACCACAGTCTCCACTATCTGGCACCAAGAGCAGCTATCAACACTCGTCCACACGAGCACACCCGTCAGGGGGCCGATGTTAAGAAAAGCATCGCTGCGACTCTCAAGGAGAAGTGCAAGAAAATGGTGGCGAAAGCAGCAGAAGGGACACATGGTTCCCTGCGCCAGAACCTGAAGTACGAACCCTTCAGCGCCTTCAATGTGTTTTCGAAGGGGATGACGGTGACTTCACTCGACGAAGTCGAGATGTTCGCGCGCTTGCGACTTCCCGCCCCGGAAACGGGGACGGAGGCAAAGAGAGGCTTTGCCGGATCTCATACGTCCGATGCACGCACTGCTCTCATTTTCCCTCCTGTCGACGACATTATTCGCGGGGAGTACAATTACCAGAGGAACATCTTTCTCGAGCTGGCCAAGCACTGCTATTTCTGTTTCCAAGATCGCTTTTACTTGGTTCCTGAAATCGCTGTGTTGATCCGTGCCACTCAGTTGGCCTCTGAGGTCCGCAATCTGCGTCCTTTCACAATCCTCCGCCATGACGGCGTCGAGTACCAGCCCGTGACCGGGACTGTCCCTGAGATCATGGCCGACCTCGTCGGTTTGCTCCGCAACCATGCACACCGTGCTCTTACCAACAAGGAGCGTAACCAGCAACGGGTTACTGTGCAAGTCGGGATAGGGCAGACTCCCTTGGAGATTCCAGCATCGCTTGGAACTATGGGCAGGTCTCAGATGCTTGAACTTCTGGGCGGTACGCGGTTCAGTGTTGAGCGTACCCGCGGCTGGATTAATCGCGAGGTGGAAGACCGTATGGTTCGACATGGTGCCACTCCCATTGGCGCCATGCGTGTGCCGCCTCCACCGCCGTCACCATCCGGAAGGACTGGTCCTGACTCATCGCTGCCTGCAGCAACACCCAGTGTTCGGCCTCCACCGGCTCCTCCGAGCCGAGGTCGCTCACCTGGCGGTGCAGCTTCGTCATCCACGGATCGTCCGATGAGCACTTCTGTTCCAAAAGCTGCAAAGACGAAGGCAAGGCCGGCATCTGCCCGAAGCATTACGCCGCCTCCTCCAAAGCCAAGTGCCAACAGACCAGTGCAGCCGCCTTACCCGCCTACTGCAAAAGCTGTTCCGAAGGCTGGCGCCGTTCGTGCACCTGAGGAATACATCACTGCAGATGAATGGGACAACTACTTTGCCGGCCGTGGCGAAGTCAGAGGCTTTGCTGTTGGCGATGCACCAGCTCCGGTTGCTGCCCCTGCTGGGCCACCTGCCACAGCCGCCGGAGGGCGTGCTCGCACTCGCTCACCGCGCCGCCATGACTATGGTGGTGGTCGAGACTATCAAGAGGCCGCGAACGACAGGTTGCGTCACCTGCGCCTGTGTGATGAGGCAATTGAGCAGCAACTCGAGAACCTGACGGTCACTCTCCCAGGCTTCCCAGCTGATCGCCTAAGGGACTGGACTGACCAAGACGGGAACGGATTCGATCCCACCCAGCCAATGCCTCGCAATTGCACTCGCACAGATGCTTGGTATTGGGCAGTTCTCCGTGCCCGTTATCTTGAGGAGCTGTCGCCCAACGAAGTGCCTTTTGTGATTCCCGCTTACACCGACCGGGAGGTCTTGGTTCAGCATCCGGTTGAGCAGATTACCTGGTTCCTGCGTGGCTGGGAGGAGTTTCGCCAAGACTCCAATGGAGCATGGTACAGGGCATACTAGTCCGTCGCATCCGACACCGGAAGGTGCTCCGCGTCTTGAGGGCACCGTGTCATGCAAGGATGCGTGAAATCGCGACTAACAGCGATCATATTTCAAAGTCAGTTTTCTGCGATTCACCGCACTGGCGTGCTGGTTCTTTCTCAAATTCTTTTGCATCGCCACGCCCGTGCATCACCACCCTGGCGGGTCGGTTCAAGTGATCGTCTCAGGGGGTAGGTAGTGAGTCCGCATCGCAGTTTGGCTTAAGGGCTCGCAAAGCGAGTACCTTCCATTACACAGTAGCTCTTTTCTTACAGTTGTTCGCCTCCTCCGCTGCGCTTCAATGCGCGGGGGGTGTTTTAACTCTGTTTGTATGCTAGTACTCGTTGCTACTGTATGGCTCAAGTATGAAAAAGGATTCGTGCGTCCTGCTGTTAACAATAAAAACACCAAAAACCCCTAAACCCTAAAACCCTTAAAGCCCCTGCAACCCCTAAACCCCCTAAAACCCCTAAACCCCTAAACAACTAAACCCCTAAACCCTAAACCCTAAACCCATAAAACCCCTAAAGCCCCTAAACCCCCTAAACCACCTAAAACCCCCTAAAACCCCCCAAACCCCCAAAACCCCTAAACCCCCAAGCCCTAAACCCATAAAGCCCCTAAACCCATAAATCCCCTAAAACCCCTAAAACCCCTAAACCCCTAAACCCCTAGAACCCCTCAACCCCTAAACCCCTAAAACCCCCCAAAACCCCTAAACCCCTACCTTAAACCCCTTAAACCCCTAAAGCGCCTAAACCCCTAAACCCCTAGACCCCTAAACCCCTAACCCCCTAAATCCCAAAAACCCCCTAAAACCCCTAAACCCTTAAAACCCCTAAACCCCTAAAACCCCTAAAATACCAAACCCTAAACCCCTAAACCACCCTAAACCCCTAAAACCCCTAAACACCCCTAAAACCCATAAACCACCAAACCCTAAACCCCTAAAACCCCTAAAGCCCCTAAACCCCTAAACCCCTAAACCCCTAAACCCCTAAATCCCAAAAACCCCCTAAAACCCCTAAACCCCTAAACCACCAAACCCTAAACCCCTAAACCAGCCTAAACCCCTAAAACCCTTAAAAACCCCTAAAACCCCCTTAGAAACCCTAAAAACTTCTAAAACCCCCTAGAAACCGCAATCAGGTGCAGGAGTCGGCGCGGGCGCCTGGCAGGGAGGGCTCCCCCGGAAGCCCTCAAAAGGGGAACCTCGCGACCCTCCAACTCCGACAAGCTGCAACTCCTTTTGCCTTCCTACGGTTGGAGATCCCTGAGTCCCAAAACTTAAGCCCCAAACCCTACTTGAAGGCTCATGGGACTTAGTAAGTAAGGTTATAAGTCGGTTATAAATAGGATAACCCCACTTGGGGGACTTATAACCCCAATTATAACCTACTTACTAAGTCCCATGATCCTCTAAGTAGAGTTCCTTTAAAGGGTGACTTTCAGGGTTTAGGGTTTAGGGTTTAGGGTGCTATTAGGGTTCCTTTATAGGGCGCTGTAAGGGTTTTAGAGATTCCGAAAATTAGGGTTCCTTTAAGGTGGGTGCTATTACGGTTGAGTTTCCGATAATTAGGGGGTACCTTAGGGTTCCTTTACAGGGTTACTCTAAGGGGTGCTATAAGGGTTCGAGGGCTCTTTACGGGTTTTAGAGTTTCCGACAATAAGGGATACCTGATTTTGAGTCCTTCTTATAAGGATCCTACTATTTAGAGTGCACGTCCTTGTCTTCGAACATGGTTCACGGGGTCAGGGATGCGGAGCAGAACTTATTTGCTTGTTGTTGGAGTTAGTTTTCGTATAAGCCCTAAACCCTAAAGCCACTGAATTTCGATTGCAGTTTTTACCGACGCCACATCTGTTGTGGTTACTTGTCATCCCAGGGTGTCTTACGTGTTATTAAGCTTTGGGTCGGTGACGACAGCCCATTGTTTTTCGGGAGGGGTTTGCGGGATTGAGTGGGCTTATCGGGAACTTTGAACCCCGAAATCCTCAACGCTGAAACCCCAAACGTGTAATCCTAAACCGCTACACCCCTAAAACCCTGAACCTCTAAACCCTCCTAAAGCCTTCAACGCCAAGCATCACTCAGGTCCAAGATATTGCGATGTCGCTGATCGGCGCGGACGAGCTCGAACTGGAGCCTCGGGCTACCGATTGGGTGACATAGTGGCATGAATAAGCAGACCATAAGATCGGAGTTTCGGGGTATATGGTATTGTAATGAAAAAGGCGCATTTTAGGCGATATATTGCTAAGAGTTTGTTCAGACGTGCAGTTTAGGCTTCTGCTCCGTGGTTGATTAAGCCGTGCAAGCATTGACGTGCCATCTCCAAAGCAGCCAATCATTCTTGCGCCAAGAGCCTCGGGTTGAGGGTGCAGGGGTTAAAACCCTAAACCTTGCAAGCTCTATGCTCGAAACCTTTAGCTCCAAACCCTTCAGCCCTCAACAATTCACCGGCTTGTCAGGTTTTCCAAAGCCAAAGCCGATAAGCCATGAAACTCCCCGGCCCCAGTTCCTCCATCCTGGACTTCAGTGAACACGTCTCAGCCTGAAGCCTTCTGAGTTGGGGACAAAAAGAAAAAGCACCCTAAGCCCCCAAAGCCCTAACCTCCCAAACCCGAACGCCTAAACTAAAAGACATGTGATGCTTAAAGCCGTACAGCTACAAATCGAAGATACACCTCCGTGATAGGCAAACTCTGAAACCCACGGCCCTCAAGCCTGGATCTTGAAGCTTGCCTAATACCCTGAGCCTGAGCCCTCAATACCTCAAGCTCTGAACCTTAATCCCTAAACCTCAAACTCAATCAAGCCCCCAAGCCCTCAGGCCCGTAAATGCTCAACCCCAAACCCTAAGTCCTCAGCCAACCAAGAGTAATACCAACATACAGCAAAACACAGACAACTCAGAACATTAACCTACACCCTAAGCCTACAAAGCTCAAACCCTAAACTCCAAATAAACAACGGGAACCCAACCCCTAAACTTCTTCGTCATGAGAAACGGCCCTAGGGGCCTAAAGCTGAACCTTACCACCCGGTTAGCTTGGGCCGCACCCATAACTGGGTGCCCAGACACCGAAGATGCCCGGCAGCCTTTGCACCGCCAAACAGTGGGTGGAGCCTATGGAGAGTTCTCCAATACAGCCCAGCCACAGCTGGGCCTAAATCCACTAGACTACCTTGATTCTCCCCTTCATTGGAACACCCTAAACCCAACGCTCAAAGCCCTATGTGGGGTTTTGGTTAGCGGTTTTCAACACCCAAAATTAAAATGGCGACGCTCATGCTCGGTGTGGAAATGGTTTGGGAGGTTGCCCGTGGTATCACAGCGGGCGGAACCCCAAAGCCTAAAGCCTTTCAAGGACACCCCTAAACCCTAACCCCTCAACCCTAAACCCCTAAACCTTAAACCCCTAAACCCTAACCCCTAAACCCTAACCCCTAAACCCCTAAACCCTAACCCCCAAACCCCAAACCCTAAAGCCTTTCCTAAAAAAAAGCCTTTCAAGGACACCCCTAAACCCTAACCCCTCAACCCTAAACCCCTAAACCCTAAACCTTAAACCCCTAAACCCTAACCCCTAAACCCCAACCCCTAAACCCCTAAACCCTAACCCCCAAACCCCAAAGCCTAAAGCC